CGCGAGGCCGGGGCGAGCACCCACGCCCGGGGGCCCGCCCGACGGACGGTCGTAGCATGTGTCACCCGCGGCCGGCTGGCCGGATACCGCTGCAGACCCGCCGCGTGACGCAATGTTATTCCCAGCGGGCACTTTGAAGCGCCGGCGGACCCCGGGCGGCCGGCCACCGCAGCGTCCCGCAGAACTGTGGACCGTGCGTCCGTCCGTCTGTCCGTCCGTCCGTACATCTGTGCACGCTTCTTACAACTGTCCGTGCTGTTCTGTTCCGTTAGTTCCCTTCCACAATCGCGTCTGACGCATCACGGCGCACATCTGTATTCAGTGGTTGCGCTAATCTCACTATGTCCCATGAAATTCTAAACGGCGTTCCCACGACATCTCTCCAGCCTCCAAAGTTTCCCACCGAACAATTCACCAATAAGGCATCACCGGGGCCGACAGAGCATATTTGGGGGACCGGTCGGCTACCATTAGTGCTCGGTCACCAGATCCGCGAGAGTCACTCGGGACCAACCAGAGGGCCGAAACGGATCTCGTCTGTCCCACTGTCTATCTCGAGTATCGATTTCAATGCCGTCTAATGGTCACAGCTGATCCGATGGATTGACTTGAGCCAGTCTATGTTCCGCCAAACGCCCGGCCATCTGCTTGTGGAGAGGACGTGAGTGGTCGCGGCGGGTCCACCTCGCCCCGGGTCGGCCGGGAACTGACCGGTGTCAAATGGCGGTGTCCGGTGTAAGGCCGTTAGCGCCGACCATTAGTTGTCTGTGCGTGGAAGGGTCGGTCATTAACGCACAGGAAACGCACGGCGGTGCCACCGAGATGGAAGAAATTGACGAGTGGGGATTTGTTGGTTTGTCGGCCGTGTAATTCACACGAGGCTGTAACAGTAGCCACGGCAGACGACCACGCAAAACGATACAGGATACACCGGAGATGACAGCTTTGCCCGATATTGAGATAGACTAAGGAGTGATGAGTGATGAGCCATGCTCGAACTGCCAGTATGCGGTCTGAAGAACTGCATCTCCTGTCACCATTCCACCAGCCCGTCGGCGTCACGTTCAGTAACTTTGGCCGGATGTGCCCATAAAGCTCACCATCGTCACGGATCGAACTCACGCCGGTCACGTGACTCACCCATCTCGCCGGTCACCAATCATCGGTCGGTGAGGAAACTCACGGCGGCGCTCGTGACTACTCCCGACTCCCGACTACTGGGCGGCGGAAAAACGCCCAGTAGTCGGGAGAGCGCTACTGCTGCTGCCGGCGGTGGGAGTATAGCACGGAGCTCCGCCGCAGTGCACGTGCAGTGTGCAGCCGAGCGGCGCGTCGCGGCAGCCAGGCACGCACAACTGACGGGTCGGCATGTCCGGCCTCTCAGCAGTCGGGTGCCACTTCAAAGGGACCAATACCGGGTGATTTATGGTTGCATAGCTGAGGATTTCTGGACTACAATAAGAATGAGGAAGGAGGTGAGGCTAAAGATGCTGAAAGCACAGTGACGGATGGGTGTCGAAACAATTCATAACAAAACAAAGACGGAGAAGCAGAGTGAAGATGAGTTGGCGGACTGGTTGATGATAAGGTGATTGATGGTTGATGGGCGCAGATAAGCTGATATCTCGGTACGTTTGACCCTGTGCCTTCGTTATACCCTCTCTGTACATTCTGTAATTATATCTTGGAGAAACGCAGCTACCTATCCATCCGCCATCCTCAGCTCTTAATCTCTCCTCCCTCCACATCTCTCTCTCTCTCTCTCTCTCTCTCTCTCTCTCTCTCTCTCTCTCTCTCTCTCTCTCTCTCTCTCTCTCTCTCTCTCTCTCTCTCCCTCTCTCTCTCTCTCTCATCTCGACCACTTCACCCCCACTCCGCTCTCCGACCGACACCAAACCCACCACTTTGCCAGCCCCGATCGGCGCACATCCACTCCACCTCGCCCTCAGGATCGGCAAGGTAATGAGACGACCCCGCGAGCCGCACAGGGGCGCACCCAGAGCGCGCTCCCCCGCACACCCCCAGCACGCAGCGGGATCCTCCTCCCCTGCTCCGCTGGCGCCGCCTGCGCCCAGACGACGCACCCCGTTATTAGCGTGGTGAGATGCCGGCGGCGGCGGACGGCGGGGCGGCGGCGCTGCGCTGGCGAGCTGGTGTGAAAATTACAGACTGTGGGGCCGTAATGGTAACAGGCGGCTGGCTGGGCCGCGGGCGGCAGCCGTCACGGCCGCATGCTGCTCGTCGGAATGCTGATAAGAACGTCCGTGGTCAGCCGCAGCGACCACTGACTGTCGATCGGTGGCCACTGACCAGACGCTGACCACTGACCAGACCCTGACCACTGACCAGGCTCTGACCACCAGCAGACGCTGACCGCTGACCAGACGCTGACCGCTGACTATAGACGCTGACCACTGACCAGACGCCGACCAAAGGCGGACATTGGTGGTCAGACGGAGCGACCGAGGCAGACACTTTCTTTCTTCTTTGACCAGCCGGTTCGACACGCACGCACTGGTGCGGTCGGCAGCAGTGGAACGATTCGTGAGAGGTAAACCGAACTACGTTCCACATAAAGGCACAACTCGTGCGTGGTGCGTGTGATAGTCAGCTGTCAATGAACGGATAAAGGCGCAATGCCACTCTCAGCAGACACCCGTGACTGCCTGCAGAGTGCAGACAAGCCACTCGACTTTACAAGTCGCGATCGATCGATCTCCCGGCTCAGATCAGCAACAGCCAAGACTCTGCTCCATCAGGAATGACAATCTGTCTGCCTTGCTCGATGCCGCTATTTGCTCCAATTAGTCCGTCGGCAATAATCCACCGTCCCCATCGTCCCGTTGTCGACCTAACAACTTATACGTTGATCCCGTCTCCCATGGCCCAGTCTTCCAAGGAGCACCACTAGTCTCGCAATGTGCACCACATGTTGACCGCCGACCGGCCCTCTCTCAACAGTGGCCCATTGTCAGAAATCGGCGACCACCCGAGTCCCCCGAGCCAGCTGTGCACCGCCGGGTGGTCCTCGGCGCGTCTCCGTGCCGTCTCTGTCCTCTGTCTCTCCGCTGTGTGTGGGAGCATCTGCGCCCCTGACCGGCTCCGTCCCACCGGTAATCCCTCACAGCTACCACACACAGCTGCCGAAGGAATGGGCACTACAGACCACTTGTCAACACAGGCGTCTGAAGAGGCGGAGGACCCTCCCTCCTCCCCAGCCGTCCGGCGTCCGCAGGTATCCCCAGCTCGCCTCTCCCGCTCACTCTCGGTCGACGGAGACGGGACACACCGACCCAGAATGCGCCTGTTGATCGCTTCGGTGCACCGCTAAAGGTGGACTCCTTTCTGTCATGTGGTCGATACTGGGCCGGCCGCCGCTACCCAGCACACAAAGCAGCGGCCGCGTGCCGGTCATTCCAGCGGCGGCGTGCCCTGTTCAGAGAGCGCTGACGGAGCGTCTCTCTGGCCGCTAATTGGTCGTCGCTGCCGCCGGGTAGTCGTGATCCGGCACAATTCCCTCGGGCAAAAACTGGCCGACCTTCGTCGGTAGCCGCGTGCACGGATGCATGCAAATACGCGGGGCCGATGGCGGGCAGACCGGCCGGCCGGCCGGGCGGCGGCCCGCCTCCCGCAGGGCGGCTGTCGGCGGCCGCGCGGCGCGGAGCCGGGGGCACCTCAGATCCACCGACACGGCCCTTCGTCAGACAGCCGCAATCAGTCCTCGGCCCTAATCTGGCATTGGCTCGTAACCGGCCCTGTAAACACGCTTTTTGCACGCATGCGGCTTGCAGGCAATCATCGCGATACAAGCGCGCAGTCGGGTGCGCGCGCGCCGGTTGTTTTCGGCGCTGTTTAACTCGTTCCGGGATCGCATACCTGTGAGTGATTATTTGCGCCGGACGGCCTTTGAGGAGCCGCTTTGCGTGCGCGTGAATGAGCTCGGGGCCGGCGCTCAGAAGTCGATTCACCCGCCGACACTGACTGGGATGGGCGGTGGCTGTGCCGTTCCCAAGGTGATTGTGGCCATTGGCGGGGCAGCGGCGGCCCCAATAAAACGGGTAGCAGCCGTAAATTGCCACCCGTGGACGGGTTAGTGTGGAAACACGTCACTCTGGGAGCAGATATATGTAAGGCAAACTGCCCGTTGAACACTCGAAAACAGCGTGCGACTAACCATCGCGACCGCCGCTACAAACGCCAAAGGAAAAACGGGCAATAAAAACGGCATTACCGCCACTGGATCCAGCTTTGGTCGTCGCGACGGCCCCATTGTCAGCAAACATGCCAACTACTGAATGAAAGCGCGAGTGTCGCCGAGCTGCGGCCTCGTGACCGGGGTGCCGTGGTCTGCTATTTACCCTCACTCCGCGGTCTGCGGCGAGTGTTCCGTCTCAGGGGAGCGGCGCCTGTCCACTGAGGACACACCGACCGGTCGCCAGGGATCAGTGGTTCATGTCAGAACCGAGATGTCAGCAGATGCCGGGCAGTCAGTGGTCCGATGGCATGGACCAATTGGACGTTTGAATGCTTTTCTTCCATTTCAATGTGGTTAACGTGCTCACTCAAGCGTTCGGGCTTTTTACCGTGATTGTTTACCTATAGCCAAGTATAGGCAAACATTCCATTGGATGGAGAGTTGTGTGCACTTTGAACTAAAAACAAAGCTCATAAGACGAAACATATCTCCAAAGATAACACCACAAGAACCGTACAAAAAGCAGAAGTGATCGAAATGAAACGATCTGGAACACGAACGAAAATAAACCATCAGCACAAATGGTGTTCTTTTGGGTTTTGTTGTGTTATTTGATCGTCTATCAGACCTGACACCGAACACGCTCCCCGCAGGCCATGTGCTCTGGTCACGGCCAAGGCGTGTTACACAAGTCATCCTCGGAGACGGCGACATTCTACGACACGAATCCACTACATAGCACACCACGCGGAGGTTATACCGTGCACCCTACACGCCCGTCCGGCGGACTGGTCCGTCTACTCACCCATGCAGACGGTATCCTGCGTGGCCGTGCAGTTCTGGATGTTCACCTGGTCGGCACGGCACACGGAGCAGCGCACGCACTCGCGCACGGCGCCGCGCTCGCCCTGGTGGCTGTACGTGTCCTCTGGACAGGCGCGGCACACGGCGTTATGGTGCGGCGAGCACGGCCGCGACGCGCCGTGGCCGGGCCGGCAGAGGCGGCACGGCCGGCAGGCGCCCGCCTGCGGGTCCAACCAGTGGCCGGGCGCGCACTCGCAGACCGTGTCGGCGTCGGCCGTGCACGGGCTCGTCTGGCGGGCGTGCTCGGGACACCGCGTGCAGCAGCGGCTGCCCAGCCGGTACTGGTCGGGACCGCACTCCAGAGCGCTGGCCAGCGGCAGCGCCTGTGGACAGGACGGTGGGGTCAGACTCACGGCTAGAAGAGGTCTGACGTAAAAAACTGACAACAATGCACCAAATAGGCATTGCACAGTGATTGCAAAGTGGAAACGTACACAGTGATCATCACAGCGAAACATTATTGCCTCCTGCCGGTAAAGGATGTATCTCTGCCTTGACCTATAATACAGGATGTCCCATTCGTGGAGGTAAATCGCATGCTTTCATATTGGATTTAACAAGTTTGCAACACATCATTCCAGTTCATGCACGTTCCCCGGAACAGTAACCACTGATGTCAGTGACATGCACTATTACACGATTTTCCATTAGCCCAAATGATGATAAGTGAGGTTTATCGGTGCACCAGATCCGACTTATCATGCCGCACCCACCGCCTAGCCCACACCGAAGGCGCTCCTGCAATATGTCACGAATATCAAACATCTGACCGGCTCGTCCCCAGATGCAGCGGCCCGACTGAGCCGGGCCCGTCCCCAGCCACATCAACTCCGTAAATAAATCGCGACGTCCACTGTTATGATGCCGTCACGGGAACCACTGCCCCGCTCGTGATCTGATCAATTCACGCCTGGACCTGTCCCAGCCCGCCCAGCTCGTGCTCTAGGACCGAACTATGTAGAGCCCGTATGTCCCCTGTCACCTCAGCTAGAGGATGGGGGGGTCACCCAGGGCGGCAGGGGAGGGGGAGAGGGCGGAGGAGCAGCCGCACCGGCGCACACTGGTCGGAAACGCCCTCACGAGAGGCCACGGGCGATTCCGGAGTTTCGGATTATTTTTTATATAGATCGATTTGAAATTGATCAAATTATTATAGTTAAGCCAAAAAAACTAATCCGGGTGACCAAAAATAACTGTAATCAGCCCCCGAAGATGGGGTATCCCAGAACTCGGAAACTGACGCGGAGCAAGAGGTTTCTTGAGACGGATATTCAGAGTCTTATTACTGATAGACACCAAATTGAAATCCCACATATTATGCATCAAAATGTTTGTTATGAAGTTGCCGACTGGTCAGTGCAAATTTTTTGGTATACTTTTTCCCCAACTAAGATCTACTGTAGCTTTTTTATGAGGGCTCTCCTAGAGTGATTCTGGAATATAACTGCAAAGTTTAGGTAAGGAAACAACAGGTAGTCCCATCTAGTCCCACTCTGATTTTTTGTGAGATGAAGCAGGATTTAAATTTACCGGGTGGCCCAGAAAAAACGTTCCGAACTTTGGAAGCCTATATATCAAATACGAGTACAAATAACGAGCCAAAATTTTCATCAAGTTTGCGTCATTTCTTTGCGCATTGGTATGCCAAATTATAACACTATACCATCATTTTCAAGCTGGCAATCTTGAGTTGAATTAAGCAAGACGTTTTTGCTTTTTTTGCCGATGTCAAACGATAGTGATGATTGGGTTAGACGTCCCATGTTATAAAAAAGAATAAAAAATAGAGCACGTGAATGAAACCAACACGTATGTTCTTATTTTAAATATTTTTGTCTCACTTATGTGCCAAATATTCAAATACTGAGCCAAAATGGTGCTCATGGATGTCATTCGTTTCAACACCAAATCATGTTTCGAGCAGGAGTGGCACGTTGCATGGATTACTTCTGATTACCCTCCTTTCAGTAGATTAAACAGTAAATCGACCGGATAAGGAAAACAAACTAAAGCAGACTGGTTCCTGTGCCAGAATACCACAGAATAGCTTATGAAAAACAACATTGCCAGCAGATGACAAAAAAAAAACTGGTTGAAAAGCTACCTTTTCCCAGGAATGTCAGCCAGGAAAGCATTTGAGCCACAAGATGGTTAGAAAACTGGATACTTCTTCTGATGCCGCTGGCACATAGCCATCGTGGTTGCCTGAGGGAATGTGTCATCCTGAGACCCGAACCATCAATGAGACTAGCTGCCAGTAGAAGTCATGGCTCTAGGCCGCGGTGCCGCGGGGTGAAAGTGACCCGTTCACTCACATTTTTTTTAGTAAACACCGGAGCAAAAAAGTAATTTTTACATGGCATGCTTGAAACACGAACCGTTTAAAAAGTTATTTACCGAACACCATGAAAATCACACCATTTACTGAAAATGTGTGCCGCATCGACTATTCGAAGTTTCAATGTTATATCTTTATCACTTTCTGAGTAATATTGATTTGAAGTTGGGAACGTTTTTTTCTGGGCCACCCGGTACACCAGGGCAACATAAAAGCTAACTGCGCATATTTGCGCAAAATTTGCAGGAGCCGCTATTCCTACCCAACTACCGCCCGCCCCGCCCCAGTTTCGGCTCGGCCGCCGCGCCCGGCTTACGCTGACCTGTGTGGCCTGCACGCATCCATGCGTAGTTGACTGGTCATTAAAAACAGACGCTCTTGAGTTAATGAATTTTGTGGAAAGCGCATACATTATGGTTTTATTATTGCATTTATGTATGTATTGACATCAAAAGCCTTCCACATATTGCGTGGCGATTACGGCTTGCATTTAGAGAGCCTTGCTATTAGTAACCATCACTCGGCTGAAGAAAGTGGAAATTGAGACCTTCGTGAATATAAGACGCTGCGAATATAGGACACCTGTCACTGGCGTCAGGTTACCTTGGGCCGTCTTTTTACATTAGATCACAATTCCGGTATTTAGCCCTGGCCGGACCGATTGGTTTTCTATATTGACCGTGGAGGGTTGATACAACTCCCTCGCCGTTTCGCCTCTAATTGAGCTAGAGCCTCGCGAAAAAAACGAGCTTGTGTGCCGTTATAAGACGCAGCAAGTACTACCCGATTTAAGGTCTTAGGTCAGCCAGTGACCTCTTAGGTCAGGTAAGTGCCACAAGGCACGGGCTCGGTTTTTGGTTAATTACTTTGCCAAAAATGGTCGCACTGCCGCGATTTTGGCATCATCGTGCTTGTCTAGCTCAGGAGCGTCGAATGCTATACTTGGTGTTCGGGTGAAGTCAACTTAAGGCGTTAACCTCGGGTCAAGGTCAGGTCGGAGCCCCTCAGGTCACGAAAATGGTTGAAGGAGGACATATCGCATATCACTCGATTCGGCAGGTCTCCTCGAGTCCAATGGTGGCTTTCCCGACTCTCTAGCTCCATCTGATCAGGAGTTATTGACGAAAAACTTATATGGCCTTAACCCTCGCCGGCACAGGCCATTTTGAGTCCTTCGACGGCACAAGGGGGGGGGGGTTGGTACGACCCCCCCCTCGCGTTTGGCCCTTGATCGAGCTAGAGCTTCGCGGAAAAAACGAGCGTGTTGCCCGTCACGAGAGGAAGCCGATGATACCCAATTTTAAGGTCCTAGGTCATCGGGTGACCTTCCAGGTCAGGTCAATGACCCGAAAACCGGGAAAATCGGGACCTGTTAGAAAGTCGTAAAGTGTGGCTGCTATATGGTTTTCCGGGGTGCTGATCACGAATATCGTGTTAGTTTTGATCAGAAATGATGTTTTTAAGCATTTAGACCAGGTCGGGTCAGGTCAGGTCAGGTCAACCGGTAGGGGTTGTGACGGGTATTCGTAATACGTGTCAACCGCCTCGGACAGCTTCGTAACATGTTACGAAGGCACCAAAACTACTTCGTAAATGTTCAAATGGTTGCTAAATTCGAATTCAGCTCCAAAAACTAGCCTAGAAACATGTAAAACTCGAAAAAGTGAACCGAGGTCACCCGAGGTCACCAAAGGTCAATGACCTGACCTGACCTTCAGGTGACCTTGACACCCACCCTAATGCATGGGAGCAACATCAAATCACATGTTTGAACGTTTGAAACCACGAAAAGCTTGCAAACGCGCGGCTAATGCGAGCCGACATGCGCCGAACCGTGATTTCGGCCAAACATGGTCACAGAAAAGAGGTCACAGGTCAAAGGTCATTGGGGTCAGGGTCATGAAATTTTCAGGGTAGGTGTAAAATTAATCAATACGAGGGTAACGAAAGTTTTGTCGCGATCGGCCGCTTTTACGCGAGTTATTCTCGACAAACCTTAGGGGGGGTGCATCAACCCCCACCCCCTGTGCCGGCGAGGGTTAAGATAACGGAAAGATATCAGCATTTAGGGGAGAGTGGGGCAAAGCGGCCACCCGGGGCAAAGCGGCCATCCATCGTTTTAGCCCTCCACAGCTGGCGTCAGTTCCAATTTATGATTTCCAATTATACTTCTCTTTGCGGTCGTTCGAATGAGCCAGACCGGGGTTTCAGGCCCATCGCCATTGTTCTGTGAAACACGGAAAAGCATTTCTTGCCAGGTTACCAATTATGTTTACAATTTTTAAATGTTATTTTATTCCATAACCGTTAGGAATTTTTATAAGCGTTTTTGTCCATGCATTGCGTGGTTATCGTACATGCCTTCTACCAATTTTAATGCTTTTTACCCCACTAATAGCTGAGCTGGAATATTTTTGTCTCGGACGGTATGCGCGGGGCAAAGCGGCCGGGGCAAAGTGGCCAGCCCCCAATTGGCCATAAGTTGTTTCCATCTGGATAAAAACATTATTTATATTCAAATGTGTCGTCATGCATTCATCTTGGCCACTTTTCGGTTACATGAGTTACCAAATTATTCAATTAAATGTTTTTCCTAGAAAATTCTTTCTTTGTTTAGCAATAGGTGGGAAGATAACAAAGTAAACATCCATCTTCCCTTAAACCTTGTCACCATCAAATACCCTAGTCGTGCATGAGGCAACTATTCTGTTTCTCATATCGGGACTTGAGAAGTCGCCAGTGGCCGCTTTGCCTCAGGGATGGGGCAAAGTGGCCAATATGCTATAGGTTTAAAGTTTTGTCAATATCTCCCATATGTGAACGCCTTTGGAAATGAAACGCAGTTGGAATAAAAGACAATTTAATAGGGATCACATTGGTATAGAAAGAATCTTTCCAAGTTTAAAAATCGAGCGTCGGCATCGTTAGAAACGTTAGGGTGGCCGCTTTGCCCCACTCTCCCCTACATATAACAGCCCGGCCCAG